TAGCATAAAGTGTTGGTTGCAAGAGTACATGTGCTGACAATCTTTTTCAAAATCCAATATTTACTGTACCTTTCGAGGCTTCACTTATTCTTCTCCACGACGAATTGTTCATCTTCAAGTTATTTGTCATACAGAGTATGCAACTCCTATACCTGACCTTAAAGTCCGAAATTACCTTAACCAATAGGAGTTCTCAGCTTCTTGGATTTGTCGCTCCATATACTGCTCAATCATAATGTGGTATCTATAGGTATATCCACCTCTTGTTGTACTTCTATAGCTTTAAATTAGTGCATCTTCTGAAAATTGGCTCTACCTATGGTTTATGATGGCATAGAGATCTTTGTATGGATGGAAGAGGTCATTCTCTTCTAGGTTACATATATTTCTAAGTAGGGTAGATGATGGTTTGGGTACAAAATCTTGTTTGTACAGGTTATTCAATGGGGTTTGGCCTTGACTATAGAATTTGTACAGGTTATTCAGAAGGTTTGGAAGTGGAGGTGGCTTATAACTGGTTCCGGTGGCTTTCATGAATCTTCTCGGTTGGCTGAGTGTATTCAGAGTGTTCTCCATGAATTGGAATGGTTGCCATCATCCCATATCTGTTGATCTCCATATATTTCTTAAATTTCCACAGTCATAGGTTCTTCAACCGGATTTCTATTATCTCGGTAGTTCTTCATTTGAAATTGCTCCATCGGTTGAACGTACCTTCATAGCCCTCAAGTATTTGAATTGTCACTTGGCTTCATACCGTAAGTCTTCTTGATGATATAGACGTTGACGATAGATCTTGTTAGGGTTTAAGAGATTAAAACTATCCTTTACCTTGCATGAAATCAAAGCATAAAATGGGACATCTTTTCTTTTGATCTCGCAAATTCTTTAGTCCAACATATTTCTCATAAATATCTTTGTCATGGCTTAGGCATGTAGAATGTCTTGTGGACTAGTAATTCCTCAAATCTTGTACATCTTGTTGCTTGGATTGCAATAATTTTGACTCATGCTAACATAACCAAAGGCTTTTATTTACTGCCCTTCTGGAAATACCAAGGACTAGAGTCTTCGGAGGGGGTTATATTATTATAGTAAAATAGTTATTCTTTTGAAAGGAGGTATGATGCACAAATAAAAGCAAAAAATAAAACCAATAATGAAGGGGAGTTCATTCTAATAAAGGCCTTAGCAAACTTATTAGGCAAAATTTTAGTTTTTAACCTAATTATCCTATATAAATGGGAAGTTATTCATAAAGGGGTTAGACAACCTATGGGTTTAAGACTATAGGAAAACATATACTCTGATACCAGTTCTGTCGGGTCCCAAAACTAATGATTCTGAAACCGACATATTTAGACTGTATCAAGCCCTGGATTAGTAGATTGATACAAGTTCAACAATCTGGATCGTCTTTGCATACATTTAAACATAGCTTTGAAGGAGATTTTAATACATAAAGTAATAGGGCGTTTACAAGCTTGTGGCTAACCATTACAGCAGAAGCTATAGAATGACCTAACTCTGCTGTTTTGCTATAGACTTAAACCATCTAAATAATCTAGACTTGAGGACTAAGTTAAAAGGGAACTAACTTATGTGATTGAACTCCCGGCTTCGATAAGAACTCCAAAAATGACTCTGAAAAAGGGGGGTTGAAGCAAGGGTGAGTACAACGTACTCAGTAAGCTATTATATTAATCAATAATGAATGCATGAAATGGTAATATCTGTGTAGAGCTAGGTTTACTTGTGGAAAGCAGAGGATATAGAGGAAGAAAGCCTGTAATGTTTTAAATGCAACAGTATTTAATAAAGTTTGGAATTAAGTTTCTAACCAAATACCATATGAGTCCCGATGCTCAAATCCGTGAGCACAGCTATTCGAATAGTTTCATGAATATTCATACTGCAGTAGATGTACGCTTTACCCACAGCCCATGACTTGTTGATAATCATCAATTTCGTCATGGCCTAGTATTAGATTACTAACAATTGTGGCACCTGTTTCATTAACTCTAGTCCCCATGCGCTCTGAACGTACGTTATCAGCAACGTGAGAAGTTCTGGCGTTTCCGAGGTATTTAAGGGGGACTGATCGTATGATACCATGTCATCTCGATCAGGGTTTATAAACACTACAACGGGATCGCTTATCTCTAACGGGCATAATACCTCATCACTTTCGGGTAGGCCCCCCATCACTGAGCAAAGGTCAGTGATGTGAGAACATATCTCAATCGGGCATCCGACCATCACGGATGACACACATCTCAATCGGGCCAACACTATAGCCCGTCACGGATGACTCTCATCTCTAACGGGCCAACACTATAGCCCGTCACAGATGACTCTCATCTCTAACGGGCCTAAATTATAGCCCCCGTCACGGATGACTTTCATCTCAATCGGGCCTAAATTATAGCCTGTCACGGATGAGTATAATCCACAAAAAAAATAAATTTTGTTTTTTGGCTAGCCTCGGACCTTTGCTAGCCATGCTCCCAAGCCGGGCTCACTCGTGTGCACCCGGGCTGCACACTTGAAAAAATTTTCCGGTCGGTCACCCATCCCAAAATTGCTCCAGGCCAAGCACGCTTAACCTCAGAGTTCTTTGGAGATCTGCTTCCGGAAAAGAAGTTATACATTCATTCACATACACAACCATCAATATATTTAACACAACCACGTTCACATAACATCCATTTTGATCACATATTTCACATCCATTCACATGTTTCACCAGCAAAACCGACTTAATTGGAGCAAATATATATATTTAGCAAGTATTAACACGATGAGGAGGAAAATCAGACTTCTAGGCAAAAATGAATTTCGAAATGAATTTTATGATAATAAATGAACTCATATGAAAAAGTTGTCAAAAACATTGTTTACAAAATTCACATATCTCTCATCTGGTCTTATAAACTAGAGAAAATTCCTTGTATACCCCTAAAAATTTAGCTAATCTCTTCTATACCCTTGAATTTTACTTACTTCCTTGTATACAACCAAAATTTGATTTTGATCCCTTCCATACCCCTCCCGTCAGTTGACCGTTAGTTGACCATCTAATTTCTATAAAAATGACCATTTTACCTTCAGATGAACATATAAATTTATGAATTACATTATTAAAAAAAATAAAAGCTTCTCGCATGAGACTATCATAGTTATGAGTTTGTTGTGCGATGCATTATTTATCCCAAAATTATTTTTATATAATGAAATAAAAATATGTATTTATTTTTTAAAAAAAATCATAAAAAATGAGGAGCATTCATACAAGATAGGACCAATGTTCACAATAATGGTTTTATGAATCCTCCCGATAAAAAAAATCCATTGTCCTATTAAAATTTCAAATAAAAACTTTAATTTATTACTTTTGTTTTATTTTCAAAATTTATGTCAAAATTTTCTGCATTAATTATTTAGTCTCATTAGTTTCATAAAATGCACATACTGCGCACTCAAACAAAATTTTCAATTGTTTCTGAAGGTTATATTCAAACCTAAAGCATCAAGGGCAAAAAGGTCATTTGCAACCAAACGTCATAGTGAAATGATGGAAAATGTAACGGTAGGGGCATGGAAGGAATCAAGTTGAAATTTCAGGGGTATAGAAGGGATCGGGTAAATTTCAGGGGTACGGAAGGGATTGGGTGAGTTTTCAGGGGTACACATGGAATTTACTCTATAAACTATAACACAGATATGTAAATTTTGTGAATAATGTTACTAACACTTTATCGGATGAAGAAATGACAAAAATAAAAGTTATAGATCTTGATGAGTTATACAACTTTGTTGTTGATGACTTTTTCAGTTGAAATCATTTAGTATTTGAAAATATTGTTTGAAGTTGTCATATTTTCAAATTCAAATTCAAACTGTTCAAAAAAAAGTTATATAGAAAAATGACCAAAATAAAAGTTATAGATCTTGATGAGTTATACAACTTTGTTGTTGATGACTTTTTTTAGTTGAAATCATTTAGTATTTAAAAATGTTGTTTTGAAGTTGTCATATTTTCAAATTCAAATTCAAACTGTTCAAAAAAAAGTTATATAGAAAAATGACTAAAATAAAAGTTGTAAACATTGATAAGTTATACAACTTTGTTGTTGACAATTTTTCCATTTGAAATCATTTACTATCCGAAAAATTATTTTGACTAATAAAATGAATTATTATACTACAGTTAATTATTTTGTTACAGGTCAACTCACAAATATAAATATTTCATATGAAAAATAAAAAAACACTAAGTCATCTCAATCGGGCATTTTAGTATAGAGCCTGTCACGGATGAGTCATCTGTGACGGACCTAGTTGTTATCGATTGAGATATGGTCGCACCCGTGACGGGCACCAACTTGGGGCCCGATTGAGATATGGAATGTTATCTCAATCGGGCCTAAACTACGGCCCGTCACTGATAAGTGTCATCCGTGACGGGCATGAGTTTTATGCCCATCTAACATGTTTGTGCGACCATATCTCAATCGGGCGTTTTTTCAGCCCGATTGAGATGACTTCCTTGTGACGGCCCGCTAATTCTAGTCATGTTAAAGGCCGTCACGGATGAAAGGATACTAGTGAAATAAAATCACATACACAGTGTGCACGATATTTACCCTTGCTCGATAAATATAATAAGAGAGAATCCACTCAGTGCCACTGAGTTTTTCCCACTTCTACAATCTACCACTGACTTTGTCAAGTTGAACAATATGCCATCGTGTTTTCCCAAACATCTACTAAGTGCCATCGCCATCCACAAGCCGTTAGGATGCATCCGTTTAGTGTATTGATTTTTTTTCTTAATGACTAAAATACCCTTACCTTAGCACTTTGACTGAAGACCCTAGCCGTGCAATCCCCATTTGATCTGCCCAGTGTGTGGCAGCGCCGACTCCCATCGATGGAAGGCCAGCCGCCCGAGACTCCGAATGGTGGCGTGATTTTTCGGGTTGGAATGGATTCAATCCATGGGTTAAGGTCTGGATCGATCCATAAATCACGACCAACCCACTCGCTCAGGTCATGTGCTACTAGCTGTGCTCTCCTCTTGCAGGTCATGTGCTTGCTTTCTGCCTCCCCCATTATCCATGGCGGCATGGCATCTCTGCTGCTGGCAGCTGCCACGCCGGCGGCAGCGGCTATGCCTACTCCACGGAAACGAGACGAGGTGCCCGGTGCCCCAAGGGAAGCCCGGACTGCTGCGTCGTCGGCAAGCGCTACCCGCGGTTCATGTGGCTCACAGCCGGTATCGGACATGCGCCGGCGATCCCGACGCTGCATATGTGCTTCCGCCGGAACATGGAGCTGGTCGTCGAGCTGTACTCCGGGTCTGGGTGGCTGTGCCTCGACGACGGCGGTGGTGGCGCACGCTGCCGCCGCTGCAACGGGAGGATCCGCGTCGTCGTCACCGCCGCCGCCGTGAATGGACGGTCTGTCGTTGTCAGGGTGGTGGACGAGTGTGACTACGTGAACGGGTGCTGCAACGAGGACGGCTTCGCGCCCCCGTGCCAGGACAACGTTGGCGGCGAGTCGCTGACTGTGTGGAAGAAGCTTGGCTCAACGAGAACAGGGGCAAATAGGTCTTTTTACAGCTCTAACAGATGTCTAACTAACGGCTTATGGACGGCGATGGCACTTAGTAGACGTTCGGGAAAACACGATGGCATATTATTCAACTTGACAAAGTCAGTGGTAAATTGTAGAAGTGGGGAAAACTCAGTGCCACTGAGTGGATTCTCTCATATAATAATTGCCCTGCTCGGCATATAGTTGCCTCCTACTCGATGACTTAAAAAAAGAACCACTGTACAGAGGTACTACCTTGTTATTAACATAATACTAAATCTATCCCCATACTTAGAACTATGGTCGTACCCGTTCGTTCTTCACAAGTACTTGGCCAGTCTTATGTCGGTTGGAACAGTACTAGCCACCCGGAAATCAACCAATTCTACCGTACCGTTCCAATCTAAGTTCATTATATTTTTATGCAGTCTAACTAGGCAGGGCTAAGCAAAAGCTAGCATATCTGGTTTGCTATGTTCAGGTTATGCATTTGAAATCATGAATGACTAATGCATAGAATAGAGGTATAGAATATAGGGCATTTATGCTCAAAAAGGAGGAATAATAACTTGCCTTACTCCAACGCAAATAAATCCGAGATAGGCAACCTGATTATCCGATCCTCGAAATACCACAGGTTGCCATCCAGAATAAAATAGACTCTACTGAAGAAGAGGAAGAGCCAAATTCAATAAAAATCTATGAAATATCAAAAGAACGATAAACGACTTAGGAAGGCTAGGGTTTAGGGTATAATCTATTCCTTTGGTAGGGTATGGGGATTATTGGGCTAATATATCATGTATAGGTTCCTAAGGGTTGGAGGTTAGGGTAGAGAGGATTAAGTAACTATTGTCGCTTGTATTTTATGTGCAGGTTTTGGTTGGTGGAAGGATAGGAAGTAGTTGGATAATTGGACTGGTTAAGTGGGTATATGGCTAGTATTTGCTGGTGGTAGGTTTAGGTAGTATAATAGGTAGGGTTTAGTTATATGGGAGTTGATTGTGGAGTAGGACAGCATATCGGCTAGGCTCTATATGTATAGGTTTTGGTAGGTGGAGAGTAGGTGGCTGAGAGTATGGTGGATAGGTGGGTATGGAATTTGGGTGATGACGGGAATTAACTAGGAAGGTATTGGTTAGGGTTTGGTTGCTAGTCGTTGCTAGAGTTGGACAGCATAATGACTAAATTTGATATCTTCTCTAGCCAGTGTCATCATACAGCATAACGACTAGAGGAATAGGAAGTTTGTGTAGGAAGTGTTACTCCGACAACCGTGAGTAGCAACGGAGCGGTTAGGATCACACAGAGCTTAAGAGCTAACTATGCGGTGTGTAGTGGAGGTCGAGGGAATAGTGAAGCTCCGACCATTGTACGCATTAAGGCGTAAGGTGCCAGGAGCAGCATTTCGACCTTAAGTTTGGTTTTGCCGGACTTAACAACCAACGGTTCGACGTCGGAGTCAATAGACCGCGAACGTCCCCATGGAAGGGGTAAAGTTCTAACCAGTGGCTTTTAGTGGCTAAAGGGTATTTTTAAAATAAAAGGAAATATTTGAAAGTTAAATATAAGTTTCAATTATAAGTTTAAATCAAATATTTATTCAAATGGTATTTGAATAAATTAAGGAAATTCAAATAAAATCTTAAAATAGCAAATTTGGCATCAAAATGTAGATTTTGAATTTAGATGAATTTAGGTCCAAGTTTTACTGGAATCGGATCTACGGTTTAGGAGATATGGGCTTCTAAAGAATAGGATTTGAATTAAATCTAGAAAATATAAAGTGGTACTGTACGGGGGCCCACCTGTCAGCCTTTCTTTTTCCATTTCTTCTTCTTCTTCCTCCTTTCGTTTTCCTCTCTGTCTCACAGTGAGCCGAGAGAAGAGAGAGGAGAGGCCGAGTGGGGCGGCGGTGCTCCGGTGGCTGGGAGGCTGCGACGTTGGCGGTGGGTTGTGTTCCCGAGCGACGCGCACCCGGGGAGGGTGGTGTATCGAAGAGAGGAAGAGGGATGTGGCCGGAACGGCGAGTAGAAGAGTTTATCTTCGGTGGTAAAGAGAGGGGGGGTGGTGGCTTGATACAAAGGGGAAAGGAAGGAGAGATGGGCAAAATGGATTCGCTGGAGTGGAGCCAGCATAGTGGCGCAAGGGAAGAGGAAGGGGAGCTACGAAGGAGGAGATCGGCCGACGGCGGCGACGGCCGGACATGGATGGAGGGAGACAGAAAAGAGCTTCAAGCTCGATGTGGGGAAATGATGGGGTATTGCCGGCTATTTATAGGCGGCGAAGGGCGGTGGTCAATGGCGGTTTGCAGAGGGGAAGAGGGAGTTGGCCTTGGTGGCGGCGACGTGAGAAGGAAGACGACGGCGCCGGCTGTGGCCTGTGATTGGTCGGCGACGGCGGCGCATACACGCGGCGGTCGCGGGAGGGTTGGGTGGCGGCGGCAGTGGAGTGCACGGCACGGAGATGGCTTTGCCGTGGTTGGCAAGGCAGCGGCGGCGGCAAGCGTACGCGCGCCACGCGCGCCCATGGCGCCGGCGGCAGCGCCCACAGAAAAGGAGGCGACGGTGGTGCGGCTGGGAGTTGGATGGGCCGGTTTGGGCCGAGAAGGGAGATGGGCCGAAGGGAGAGAGAAGGGGATTTCAGCCCAATGACAAAAAGGAAGAAGTCTAATTTGAATAATTGATTTGGATGGCTAGGTTTTGCAAAGAATTTGAATAGGAAGTTTTGGAAGGAAATTTGGCAAAGGAGGGATTTTCCAATTTATTTGAGTGCAATGTTTTTGGATATAGAATATAATGGACTAAATATCAAAGCACTCAAATGAGAGGGGAATTAACAATATAATTCCTCAATATATATATTTGGAGGAAAATGGTTGGAGGTAAACATAAAAAGGATTTGAATCCTAAATTTGATAGCAGGAATATTTGAAGAATTATTTGTGGCTAATAGGGAATCAATTTGGAAGAGGAGGATAAAATAAAAATCTATTCTTCTCAGCACAAGAGCAATCATTCACAATATTTGTAATATTGCTATTCTTCTGCCAAATAGGAAATCCAACCATAGAGATTAACGATGGCTAGATCAAAGGGAGGAATTTGGATATTTAAAATTTGGAAAGGGAACTAAGTATAGGTTTGGAATCAAAGCATAGGTTTAAGATCAAAGGATGGGTTAACAATTAATTCCAATGGAATCGGAATTACGGTTGTTTAGGTTCAAGGGCAATATGGAAAGGATTTTTGGACCATAATTCATAACAAAAAAAAAGGGTTTTCGAACTAAATTTAAAGAAATTATGGTCGGAGGAAAGTATTGAATCAAATCAAGAAATAACCCAAGATGGTTTTAAATAGAAACCGCAAAAGGAAATTAAATAAAAGGAGAGGTTTTGAGTTAGTTTTAGGAAGTCTCTCTAATTATAATATTCTAGGTTTAAGAAGTTATTAAAAACATAAGAATCGGCGTGGTGCATAATTAGAAAATTGTTAATTTTCAGGATGTTACAGTACTGGATTGACGTCAAGTATCGCAGACGACGGCGAGAATCGACGCACGGCTCACAACTTGCAGGCCGTCCACGGACAGCAATTCCTCTCGCAGAGCGCGACAGATTATTTAACGGTGTAAACCTTTTAGAGTAGTGGTTTCTTTTTAAATTTGGACCTCTCCGCTCTCCGGCCCAACGAAAGCGACGACGAATAAAGTCATTATTATATATTAGCAGTGCGTATAATTTCTGTTAGGACCATGAGGTAGAGTAATGAACAATACTCTGATCCTAAGCTGAGAAATCAATGTATGTGAGCAGAATATGTTCTTGCATGCAGCTGCAGCTGCAGAAACAGCTCGTGATTAGCAGATTGCATTTAGTGGGTGGGCTGTCAAATCGATCACAGTCACAGAAACCACATGTGAGCAGAACAAGTTCTTAACATAGGAGAGATGACATAGCAATGGAAATGGCGAATTCGTGATGCACATATATAAAGCTAGCAACAGGTATAGGCGATGTGTGTGCTTGACAGTGTACAGTGCAGACCATGGGTGGCGACGGCAAGCACACCAAGTTACCATGGCTGGGCGTGGCGAGGTACGCGGTGACCGCGGTGCTCGCGGCGACGGTGGCGGCGACGGTGGTGCTGGCCATCAGGATGGTGCTCCGGCCGGTGGAGCTGGACCTGTCGGTGGCCAACGGCGCGGTGTCCGTGGAGCGGCCGGAGTCGCCGTCGGCGGCGTCGCTGGTCAAGTACAAGGTGACGCTCCGCGCCTACAACCCGAGCGGCCGCGCCGTGGTCCACTTCGGCGGCGACAACCTCGTCCGCCTCATCTACGGCGCCGCGGCGCAGACGGAGCTCGCCGCGTTCACGCTCCCCGCGTTCGTCGTGCCGCAGCAGGAGTCGCACTTCGTCACCAAGTCCGCGTTCCTGAACGCCTCCGCGCTGCCGGCGTCGCTCGCCGCGAGGCTCTACGACGGCGAGACCGACCAGGTGGTGGTGCAGGCCGTGGCGTCGCTCAGCTTCACCATCGGCGGCGCGCGCGGCGTGAGCGCCGGCAGGCGCGGCCACAACTTCACCTTCCACTGCTGGCCGGTGTCCATCTCCAGCTACTACGAGGTGTCCGGCGGCGAGGCGTCGTGCAGCCAGGACACCACCGAGGCGGCGGTCGCCGGCCTCACCCACGACCGCTGCATCGGCGGCCCTTGCCCGGAGCCGTACAAGAACTCCGGTAACTGCTCCGGGAATAATAGCACCGGCATCAAGGGGTGATCGATCAGCTAATTTCATTTCGCGGGGTGTAATTTGATTTCCAGATGCTACTGTAATTAACTAATTTATTACAAATTGAAGAAATAATTGTATTGAAGTTGTGTACTGAAACTTAAATTGTGCTTGAACAATGAAAAAGTGGAAACTAAAGGCATTTTGATTTGTTGCCACGTTCAACCCGATAACATGTATTGTACACACAAGTTTAGAGTGCACGCTCAATTACCATACACATCAGCTAACAAGTAATAAAAATTCTAAACATACTTACAAGTACGTGTGCACGTACTACAACTATACATAAAGTTTCAACTTCAAGTTTAACTAAACATAAATTGATCATTATCAAAATATGCTAAACTTGTAATTTTGGGATAATTTTGTTTTTAAATATGTGGATTTGTGATGCTTGGCTCTAAATTTATAGTTTTATGATAACTTTAGTGCTAAATATGTGTTTAATGATACAACGTCTCAAATTTATAGTTTTTATGATAGTTTGATCAAAGTTATATACATAGTTTTGTCAAATTTACTCTGAACTAAAAAATATATATCATCGAGCCCTAAATCAAACAATGGGCCTAAATCAACGAGAACCTGTGCTCCAAAACCCAAACTGGAAACGTGAAGGGCCCGTGAAATAAGAGATGAGCTCAATGGGCCTTGGCCTGCCAAGAGGCCCATCAGATCACACGGCCCAATAGGAGGCCTTCGAGAAGGTTCTCCGCTGGCCTCGCACGCTCTGGACTTCTTAAGCCGCAAGCACGCGACGCGACGGCGAGGCCACACGACCTCACCTCGCCACCATGCGGCTCCCCGGCGACGCTCGCCTCGCCCTCCTCCTCGCTCGCCGCCGCGCCCTCCCCTCCTCCTCGCCCGCCGCGTCGGCGTCCCCCTTCCACGGCTCGCGCGCCCACGGAGGTGAGCCGCCGCCGCCGCCCTCATCCCCGCACTGTGGCTCTCCCGATTTCCTGGGATTTCCTTCCAGTGTGACTGATCTTTCTTTCTGGTTGGTTGCTTTGGTGTGCAGCGAGGTGGGGCGACGCGTTTCGCGCCGCGGCTCCCGCGTGGAGGTCGCCGTTCTCCTCGCCGACTAGTGCCAGGCTCTTCCACGGTGAGGACAACAATGGGGAAAAAGGGGAAGAAGGGAGATGCTGCTGTTTCTGGTTTGGTGAGCTTGGCTGAGTCGATTGGTGATGTTGGATTCGTGTGGCTCTGCAGGGACGAGGCCGGTGGCAGCGAGGGACTACTACGATGTGCTCGGCGTGAGCAGGAACGCGAGCCAGGGGGAGATCAAGAAAGCGTATTACGCGGTATGGTTGGCTCTGGAATCAAGACTATGTCATGCTTAGGGTGTAAATTGAGCACACCAACGCGGCACATCTTAGTTCTATATCGCAAGTCTTGAATTATAAAGTGAAGACTAAACTTTTAGTTGCTAATTTTAGTGATAGACTTTGGAAGTTCCCATCATTACACTTCAGGACTTGTGCATAGAAAGATCATCACCCATTTGGATTTTGGAACAGTAATGTTAACCGCAAGTTGATGGGTATCTACCAGTTTTTTTGTCTACCAGAATGTTTCTGAAAAGTGGTTGATGGACTCTTGAGTAAAGGGCAGTTGAGGTTGTTTGATTTACCATTTCTCATCCTCAATTTTAGTTATGTATTAGCCTTGTGTTAATATAGAAAACATTGGCATTTCCTTTCCTTATGCACCATCGAAAGAAAAAAAAAATCATCGCGTATTGTTTACCTCACAATCCCTTTTTTTTTCTTTGTTGTCCTAAAAGCTTGCGAAAAAGCTCCATCCGGATACAAATAAAGGTGATTCTGATGCAGAGAGGAAGTTTCAAGAGGTTCAGCGAGCTTATGAGGTACAGTTTTCAGCATGGAATACATAGGTAAAGGTTATTATTAGTTTCTGATAATATACTGAGACATACTTATTTTTCCTTCTTTGCAGACTTTGAAGGATGATCAGAAGAGATCATTATATGATCAGGTAACAATTTCAACCTATTTAATTGAACAAATGCCAACATTTTAGCTGTCAATGCCTAAGGTCTATTATTTAAATTACCATGGGTCTGGAACCTCAATTTAGTGTTTACCAAGGCCCTAGGCTGCCTGCCTAGGTAGGCTAGACAGGAAGGTGCTGCCAAGCCGCAAGCTTTCAATTACCTTGTAGAGCACTGCCCAGATTCATTAGTTATCCTATTCTCATAATTAGTGGTAGTAATAATTCAACTTGACTATTATGTGATTATTGCTTTTCGTTGCTATACCCTAGGGTCAGAAGCTATGTCTTAGAAGTTTACAATACAAGCTTTTGAACACAAACTTGTCCTTGACATGATCTATTACAGGTTGGCCCTGATCAGTATGAGAAAGCTTCCGCTGGAGGAGGACCTGGTGGTGCATATGAAGGGGGTTTTGGCAATCCGTTTGAGGATATTTTTGGTGGAGGTGGCGGCGGCGGTGGAATGAATGATGTATGCTATCTTTTGTTTAATTATTTGTCATCTGGTTTTATTCTGGTGGTTCTGCTCCCATTTAGTTTGTATTGTTTTCTATCACTCATGTTGCTGAGTATATACAGAAAAAAGATACTGTTGTCTGGAAATTCATTTTATCTTTGTAGTTTTATAGTTATTGAATTGTTTGAGTTTTAGCAGAAACTTGTGTCCTACATACTGCGACATTGCCTCTTTGATACTTTTTCCATAAGTGGTTTTCTGTTTCTTTCATTGCATTATTTAATTATTTTACAGCTTGATAAACAAATGGCATCTCATCATCCTTCATTTTATAGATGCTGATCACATAACCACATGCTCGTATACTTTAATCATATGAGTATAACGGCACTAATATGACTTTTGTTGTCTGTGTGTATAATGAAGTTCTTTAGAAACATATTCAGAGAGAGAGAATTTAGCGGGCATGATGCCAAGGTTAGCTCTATACTCATTTTTTTTTCACCTATCATGTTTTTGCTCTGTGAATCGCAGTTTCATGTTCCATTCTACAGGTTGCACTTGAAATATCATTTATGGAAGCAGTTCAGGGGTGCACAAAGACGATCAATTTTCAGACTGCTGTTACATGTGACACCTGCAGTATGTAGATGCGCTTCTATTTACTGCACATATCAAACTATCGATGTCCTTTGAATTGTTCCTAATCATCTAATGAGAGTTCTTTGTTTTCCCAGAGGGAGCTGGCGTACCCCCTGGAACCAAACCTGAAACTTGCCTAGCCTGCAGGGGTTCAGGATTTGTTAGTTCTTCCTCTAGCACAATTATTTCTATTTAATGTGGTATCTCATTTAAATGTTAGTACTGTGCTTATTTGTCTTTGTTTTTCATGTGCTGTTGGAAGATCTTCATGCAAACTGGTCCCTTCAGGATGCAATCAACATGCACACAGTGTGGTGGTAGTGGGAAGACTGTGAAGGTATGATGTCCCTTTGTGTTGATAACCTGCAGTCAGGATAAATCAGTTATCTAGCCTTCAATAAATCATCTAGGAGGTTAACTGTTTAGAGTTGTTGTCCTTAGGACATAAAATTCCGTACCTACCTGACCAGAATTGCTTTGTGATGTAGGGTTCGGTATTTCTAAATTTGACCATCTTACAATCCTTATTCATTACGTGTATCAACCCCTCTGATTTTTTTCAATTTGTGGTCATTTAACTTGTGATGCAGGTGGTTGTTGACTGCACCTAAGTCCAGTTGTCTGATATTAGATATATGAATTGAAATCAGCCACAACAATAACTTCTGAACCATGCTGTTCTTTATGAAATAAATATGCACTTGACCTCTGATGTTATATTTGCTCCTATATACCTTTTGTACAGTGTCTAGATTCTGATTAGTCACGATGAGCTGGTGATTGCAATGTTCTTGTGTTGTTAGGAATTCTGCAAGTCATGCAAAGGAAGGAAAGTTGTGCCAGGAACAAAAAACATCCGACTCAACATAGTGCCTGGTAGTTTTCAAATTGTCAGCATTCATGTTATTTGTACGCATATACTCTTATTTTGTGTTACTAAATGTCCTTGAGCATTATTCTGTTCATTCAGGTACGGATGATGGTGACGTTATAAAGTTGGTTAGATCAGGTGGAGCAGATCCAGATGGTGGTAGTCCTGGTGATCTTTATGTAACTCTGAAGGTTAGTCCTCTGCACATTAGCAGTTATACCATTGGCCAATGAATGGTAATAGGCAGTTGAAACCTTACTTTGGGATCAGACAGGACCAAGCACTCGGTGCAACTAGCTGTAGGTTGATCCCAGTGCAAGAGTAGTGTCTGGTCATTTGTTCCAATTCTTTTCCCCTTGATGCAATGATGCACGGCTCTCCTGCATATTTGAGAAAAAGATGATAAGCAGATGACCTTTGTAATGCTGTTTTTTCCAGGTTCGTGAGGATCCGGTATTTCGAAGAGAGAAAGGTGATATTCATGTAGATGCTGTATTGAACGTGACTCAGGTAAGTTGAGCCTGATTATTTTTTCTGCATCCTATGCTTATATTTGCCACTGCACAGCTCAGTAATGGACATCCCTAGCGGGAAAACAGAAAAACTCAGTTACCGGCCATACTTCGTTGTCACTACATTCTGTTTTGGCTGAGCTGGTAATCTGAGTGGGAGTGTGGTAGTGGTCTGTAAGCAGGATTGTGCATAGCCTTCTAGGGCTGGGTGATAACAAGTTAGTGTTAGCAGATTATGTCTGTTCCCTTTAATCTTAGAACAAACTGTTGTTATTAGACTGTTCCTTATTTGCCACAGAGCAGGCAAACAACAATTGTTTTTCACAGTAGTTTGAATGTTAAAACTAGCTAAAGTATGTTATCTCTAGCGAGTAACGATGCTGTGGTGATTGTCTGATAATCTCTAGTGATACTAAACAAAACTTGTAATGTTGTCGAGTAGGCATCTCCTCCACAGTTCTCATATTTCATCAGTATTCAGATTAAGATTAACTGCAAACATCTTTGTAGGCAATTTTGGGCGGGACAGTTCAGGTTCCAACTCTCTCTGGAGATGTAGTTCTAAAGGTACCTCCAAAATCAGTTTACCCTCATTTTCAATCTTCTCCTTTGTTTATTATGTCGGAATTCTCCATCTGCCTTGCATATTACAGGTCAAGCCTGGTACTCAGCCTGGCCAAAAGGTGGTTCTGAGAGGAAAAGGTAAACTGCACTACATAGTGTTTACCTTTTCGTGGGGCAAAATTTTTTTTTTAGTTAGCATAAATTGCATATGGCTGCATGTTTAATACTTCATGCTCAGTTACACATCCAAGTAAAAATGGAGTCTGCAAGGGCCTTGTTTTATTAAAACCCAGTGCCGTCATGGCTCATAAATTTGTAGCGGTTGATACATTTCATTTTGCCTATAGTGATAAGCATCACTTTATCCTGCAGGAATCAAGACGAGAAATTCATCGTACTATGGAGATCAGTATGTCCACTTCAATGTCAACATCCCTGCGTAAGCTCTCCTCGGAACTTACTGAACTGCCCTATGCTGTTACTAGTACTTCTGTTCAAATATTCATGTATTACTTATACACAGGAATTTGACACCGAGACAGCGCGTGCTGATCGAGGAATTTGCGAAGGAAGAGCAAGCTGAAGAGGAGAAAGACGCAAAGGCAGCAGGAGCATCGGGATAGCTGATTTTAGGAGCGACCCGTACATTTGATTAGTGCTTTAGTCTCATCATATATCGCGAGATAGAATAGGCTGCTGCCTGAAATTTGCAGGGGCAAGAAGATATAGTTTGGTTGGATGCATGGAATTTTACATGCCGACATATAGCAGTTTCAAATTTTGTAGCTGGGAATAATATACACCACGCCGCCTGATGTTTGCAATCTCCTAATGTCACTAGCATCAGTGAGACAGGCGGCAGGATCCTGTATTGTATAATTTTGTGTGTTAAGAAAGTATGGAACTCACGGTACCAACCTCTGGACTCGTGCCACTCGTTGAGTTGATATTGGCTCTATTCATTTTTCAGGTTCTCAATTTTGTTCCCAGCAATTCTTGCTGGAAAGGACACTGGAACAGAACAGAGTTCATAAATCTTTTTATGCATTGTATGCTGGCACCGAATTAGTATTTCAGATGATGTGCTGAATTGGAATTTGTTAACTTGCTTAAAAAACAATCCAAATATTTGTCTCGCATTTCTGTCTGCATATAATTCGTCGTCGTGACTAATGTGACTGAGGATGGATCGGACGAATTCTGCAGTTCTTGCATGCCATTTTTTTTTGGAGTAAATTTCACTTTGGACTAGTTTTATTTACCCAAGTTGCAAATTGGACTAGGCAATAACACATCTTTTCAACTTGGACCAGACTTTGTTACCATAATTTGCACTTTAGTCTAGTGGGCCCATGCGTTAGTGACTAATGTGTTCTTCTTCCTCACTTAGCTTGATGTGGTGTTGCTCGACGAGCTGCTCTCTTCCCACATGGGGGGAGCTCGAGGTTCTCAGTGCCAGCAAGGAGAGCTGGTCAAGCACAAGCACAACCACTACCCCACGTACGTACCCCGTAGTGCTGGCGAGCTCGTTGATTGGTCTAGCCTTGCTCCTCTTCGGTGGAGACGAAGCAAATGCACATCTTGGTGACTGCAGCCCCACCGACGAGTGGATATAGTACTGCAAAGGCTTTGGTGAAGATCAAGGAAGTAGAGCACATACTGCAGTGGGAGCTGAGCTTGACCTTGATCTATGCTACACTACTAAACATGGCCTTCCTTGCTCAGATCGGCATGCCTGGGCAATTGGAGAAGAAAGAGAGGAGGAATCGAGAGAACTGGAGGACAGGTTCAAACTGAAATAATTTGTAAACATAGCTAGCCCAAGGTGAAAATATGGATTTGCCCCTAGCCTAAACTGCAACATTGGTGAAAATAGGTGGACCAATGTGCAATTCACTCTTTTTTTTGAGATTCCTATGAAATTTTACACGATTTTTCAAATGAATTAGTTCGCTTTTTGTAGAAAAAGAGAACTCCAAAATTCGTCGAATCCAAAGGCTGCATGCGTTGCTGAATTCTGTCCACACGCTCTCCTTCACACAGCAAATGCTGGTCTCGTGTTCATCTCCACATCGCCGGAGAAGAGGAGGATGATGACGTCGACGATGGCGAGGCCCACGATGCTGGCGTGCTGCAAGCTCTACATCTCCGAGAGCCGCAACGCCGCCGCCCTGCGCGCCATCGAGCAGGCGGCGTGCGGCGGCGGCGCCGTCGTCGTCAACCGCTTCACCGACGACGCCTACAACCGGGTGGGCTACACGCTCGTCGCGCCGCTCACCCCCTCGCCGGCGCCGCCGCCTCCGCCGCAGTGCCGACGTTTCTGTTCGGCGCGGTGCACCGGGAGGGGAGGACGCTGGCCTCCATCAGGAGGCAGCTCGGCTACTTCAAGCCCAACTCCTCCGGCGACCAATGGCGGGGAGCGCCGGAGACGGACGCCCTGCCCGTCGCACCGGACGCCGGGCCGGAGAGGTCGCCGAGATCCAAGGGCGTGGTGGTCGTCGGCGCCACCGGCTGGGTCGACAACTACAACGTGCCCGTCCGCACCGGCGACGTGGAGGCGGCGAGGCGGATCGCCCGCGCCGTCAGCGAGCGCGGCGGCGGGCTCCCGTCCGTGCAGGCGATGGGGCTCGCGCACGGCGGCGGCGTCGTGGAGGTCGCCTGCAACCTGCTCGACCCGGCGAGGGTCGGGGCCGAGCAGGTGCAGGGCATGGTGGAGCGGCTCGCCGCCGGCGAGGGCCTCTCCGTCGGCAAGGGATATTTCACTGATTATTCGCAGGATAAAATCGTCGAGTTATACTTCAAATCAGCAGCTAACACTGAGGGTTAACTGCAGTGCGACCACTGATCACTGAGAGTCCAGCGGCTGACACTGAGAGTTAAACTTCAAAATTGAAATTGAGTTGATTTGGTTGGGGTCACAAGTTCTCGACCAGTGATCACTGATGAGTTCTAACTCAAGAAATGCAATCACACTTTCACGCGTAACATTTTACCAAAAAACATAACAAAACAAATTCAGAGTAGACGACATGTAGCTCGCTGTGAAAATCATCTAACTGATTTACAAGTGTGCACATGGCCGAAGAGTTCAGCAGCAGCAATGCATTCCAAGCCAGGTACTTTCAAGTTTTCCAGTAATTACAGAATGCGATACATCCAAAGATGTGAGAATCACCAGCATGAAAAATAGCAATACCAGCGACAAAACTATTAAAGCAATTTTTAGATTGTTCCATTCAGCATATGCTAGTAAGGCCTCAAGCCACCCAGGCGGCTTTGTTATTTGGCTTCTGATAATCAGATCACCGTTGGTTCTCCCTCCTCCGGGCGTATCGGGTCCTGTCATTGTACCTAGGCCTATCTGATGCTCTTTGTGGGACAGGTTCTACCCGCCTCTGCCTCTCCGGGGACCTCTGAACAATCTCTCCATTGACGAAGAGCTCAGCTGTAAAACAAAATAGAAATAGATTATATGGCATGAGTATAATATCTTTCCAAGAAATCAGAGTGCAGCAGAGCAACTCATCCTACCAACCTCAAGCCAATAGATTCACACAATGGTCAGATTTTGTTCAGCATGTAATATCTACTCTAAACAAACTAGATTAACCAAAAATACAATGATGCATTTAATGTAACCTCTGATGTCTCAAATACAAACAGTTAAAGCCAGTGACCACGAATAAGTTCTAAATGTTTCATCTCAACTGATCCACACAGCTTCACTGTACTGAAGAGCAGAAGAGAAAAAGAAGAGTTCTCTTTAAGTCCATTAGCATTCAAAACAAGGCATTGCCTAAATAGCTATCTTGCTTTGCCAAGATGGACTGCATAACATGGCACAAATCCATGGGGAAGTGCATAAATTCATTCACATTCAGTAAGAAACCATAAATGATATGATAAAAAAAGCCACCCTAAATTATTTATATAGCTAAATGTGCCACCTTCAAATCAGGTAAAATTAGAAAGCGGATTCTAACTTGTCATAGGGAAAATTTTCAACCTCCCTATGTTTAGTGGCATGACCATGTTGGCATGTTTCATCCCCACTGACCTGTACCTCATTTCATTTGAGGTGCAGAACCGTTGAAGAGACATTTTTTATTAGTCCATTAGCATTCAAAGCAAGACATTGCCATATAGGCTTCACCACTTTGCCAAGATGGACTGTGAAGTCTAGAACAGCAGTTTGGTACTGTTGAGTCAGCAACATACCAAATCGTTATGAAACAAGCAAGCGAGAGAAACACAAAATTGTTTTAATAGCTAAATTTGCCACATTCTAGTCAAGGAACATTGGGAAGTGGATTCTAACTCATCATAGCATAAATTTCAATTTCCCTATGTTTAATGGCATGATCATATTGCATGTTTCATCCCCACTGACCTGTACCCCATTCATTTGAGGTGCAGAACCGTTGGAGAGACACTTGTTATTAGTCCATTAGCATTCAAAGCAAGACATTGCCAAGTAGGCTTCACCGCTTTGCCAAGATGGACTAGTATGTCTAGAACAGCAATTTAGTATTGAGTCAACAACATACTAAATCCTTAAAAAACAGTAAAACATCAAGACTCAAGGGGGATGTGGCAGTAAATACACTGTTAGTGTCTCTATCTACACTGATCTGAACCCCAATTTGGTAAGGTGCAGAACCGTGAGATACATTTGCTATTAGTCCATTAGCATTCAAAGCAAGACATTGCCGATTAGGCTTCACCGCTTTGCCAAGATGGACTACAGGTTTGGTAAACAGACCAAAGCCTTGAATTAATCAAAAACTGAAGAGGTGGTAAAGTGTTCTTAATGTCTCATCTCCACTGATCAGAACCCCATTTTACCAAGGTACCGAACCGTTAGAGAGACATTTTTTTCAGTCCATTAGCATTCAAAGCAGGGCATTGCCTATATGGCTTCACAGCTTTGCCAAGATGGACTACTAGCAAAACATCAGTATGTGGTCGGAATAGGCTCACATGCCATGAAAACAGTCTACATACGGTATCCAGACAATGTTCCATTTCATTTTGATGCAGTTCTATTAAAATATACTTTAACTTCGATCGCATTATCCTGTAAAAATGGAAGCAACAAATGCCTATAGGGGGGCCAATTAGGATATAGTATCTACAACATCAGTCAATCAGTGATCATATGAAATGACAAAGCCATTGATCTCCTAAGAAAACCTGCAGAAGTTGTGAGGTTGTGCAAGAAAGCTACCTCCATAGTCCTTGTACTCAGGGTCGACATAGGAATCAGGGAGGACAAACAGAACACCAGGAAGCCCTGTCATACAACACATACATAGTGCATCAGATACATGAACACACACAGTGCGCTAAAAGTATTCTCATTCCAGGTATTTATAAAACCAAAACATAGGCAAGGAACAAACCTTCCAGCTTGTTGGACGTCTCCTCATCGATCTCGCACCCGAAACCAAAGTATCTCTCGCAGGAGACGTTGTAGATCTTCTTCTTCGCCTCCTCCTCACTGCAGCAAACACAACCACATAAGAAATCGACCTCCGAACCAACTAACTGGAAGTGAGGAGCAAATACATGGCAAGGTTAGCACAAACTGAGAGACAAATCGGCGGAGAGAGAGGCTTCACCTTCCGAGGACCTTGGCGAGGGTCTGGATGTAGCAGTCAATCATCTGCTGCTTGGTGGCGCCCTCCCCGCCTGGCTTGTCCATCACGATGAGCCAGTGCTCGTAGTCGCACCCGGGGAACAGCGGGGCCATCTCCGTCGGCGCGCGGTCTCCGCCTCCTCCTCCGCCGCCACCGGACCGCATCGGGGAGTACCCATCGCCGCCCGGCCGCCGCGCGAACCCGCGAAGGAAGCCGACGCGCGAGACCGCGGCGACGGTGGGGCGCAGCAGCGACTCCGGCGCACCGGGGCCGCCGCGGCGGAGGAGAGCGGAGGCCGAGAAGGAGGTGGCGCGGCGGGAGAGGAGCCTCCGCGCGGCGGCGGCGGCGGCGGCGGCCATCGCGGGGTAAAACCCTAGCGGAGTGAAGGGAGAAGGGACAACGCAACGAAGGCTGGGGTTTGGAATCGCGAATTTAAAGCTGCGTGGCGTTGAAGTGAGGTTCGTGTTTAGATGGGCTTTTAGTAGGCCGTATTTGAGGACGAATGAAGCCCAGTGAATGAAACATCACACTGGTGGCTGATAGTACTGAGCAATGCGAGCAATGGCGTGTTTATGAAGTTTCAGGATGTCTTTTACGACATTATTCAAATCCGAGTAATTTACAGGTCGAAAAATTCAAACTCAAACGTGTAGGTTACAGATCTGTAAAAAGGCTATATACTCCATCCGGTTTTTAATATATCATGCCATTAACTTTTAGACATTTATTTGATCATTTGGCTTGTTCAAATCTTTTTTACAAACATACAAAATATAAGTAATACTTAAAGAACTTTTAATGATAAATAAAGACGCAACTAAATATATGATAATTGTATAAACTTTTTGAATAATATGAATGGTCAAACATATCACAAAAATTAATGATATCATACATTAGAAATCGGAGGAAGTACACTCTATTGAATATAAAACTAAGAAGTATATAGGAATCTCAAAGGCCAAGCAAGTGATAACGAGTTCAATTTACATCCAGGAGAGGAAGAGAGCATCTAATTGAGGTGTCAGATCGACAACAATTGGCTACAAAGAGAAAAAAAAAAAGCAAGGTACCACGTTGAGTTGTACATGAATTGGTTTTTTCTGTATGTATAATGCCGTATAATCACATACTATATGTTATCTATACCTACTAGCATGGTGTCAGAAAAATCTGAAAACTGTAAAGACAGATTGGAGGATATGGTCGCGCTTCCAGTCCTGAAATGACACTTTTGCCGTCTCAAACTGCAAACTGCTGCAGCTAATCAACAGAAAATGGAGTTCCGAGCAAAGAATTAAAGAATCTGCTTCAATTGATTTCATTCCCTTGAAGAGCTATTTATCAAGTACAGGAACTATTGCTGAGCTGGGTTCGATATTGGATAGCCGTGCAGCACCTAGAAGTTGCTCCGGGAGCTCGTCGTATGTGTTTGCCTGCAAGTGTAAAGGTAGAGAAATGTGAACCAGTTGAGATATACTACTGTTTATTAGCTATAGAAACATAAGTCTTCAAAGTTCAAACTGGATCTTGCAGTTTAATCATTTGGCCTACAGCTGATAAACCGTAAAACGGCTTATTAGGAATCAAAAATAATTTGAGTAAAACTTTTATATATCATTACCGACTTAAAAGCAAATGCTGAAAAATAAACTATGTTAAGAAAAACCTCAAGATCAATTCTAAAATTAAGTTTCAAAATTTTAGTTTTGGCTGCGGCTGAGCCAAAAGGGTGCTCTTGGAGAGTAAAGACTGAAGAAAATGAGGGAGCCACTGAGCATACATACCTGTATAAGAAAAGCCATGTCAACTATTAAAGTCGTAACGACGCCAAACACCAAGCCCAGAACACCATTGGCCACTGCTGAGGAACCAATGTCTACATCTACCTGCATAACAATATCAAAAATAAATTTGTTTGTTCAAGAGATGCCCTAAATAACCTAATGTTCTACTGCTTCAGTCATATCTCAACTTTGCCAGGTATTTACATGCTCGAATAATGTATTTCTCCAGTAATTAAAATAATAGGAGTTGTGTTGTGTTAATATTTAAGGTGCCTATATTCAGTGTCTCACTTCTATGTACTCTTGACCACGCATATAACTGCAATCAACAGCCTTTCCCAATAAGCAAGGGGTACTTCCGACGCTCTGTCGCACTATCCAAGATCCCTGAAGAAATCAACATGCTCAAGTGAGAAAGGCCTTCATTATAAATCAACAGGGCTATACACTCCGAAAGTTAGACCAGACCTTTGGAACAGATGGGATGAGCTTCAATCTGCTATTTCGGAAATCATCATCGCCATCAGCAAAACGTTGTAACAGTGATCCTTTTTCCAAGGTTCTTGTAACAAAATAGAGGACCAAGCTGTAATGGCTTGATCCAGGAATCTGCAAATGCAAACAGACCTGATCAGCGTGACCAAAATAAAGAAGACGAGCCCTGATGGAATCACAGAATGAAAACTGGTATTTTTCAAGGGAAAACTGAAAGCAATAATGATTTTTTTCTCTAAGCGAACAAAATAATCCGGCCTAAGCTATAAACAAGCCAACAAAACTGGTATGATCATTGAAAACTACACAGCAGGTCACTGCATCTGCTCTCATTGGCAATGTTAATCAAACAAAAAAAAACAAGAGATTCTGAGCTAGGGTTTTGTCAAAGTGTAACCAGGGAGTTCTATTTTTCTTCTAATAGCAATTGTGCAAGGAACTAGTTTGTCAAAGCGTAAACAATTTGTCAAAGTGAAAACCAGGAGTTCTCTTCCTGTAAGGAACCCCGTGAGCACAGCAGAAAGAAACTAGCCATGGAGGAGAGACCATAAAAGAAATATGATCTTACTTGAATGTTTACAACAAAGGTGAACATCCCCTTCTCAGCAGCAACCTACATTGGTAAAAGTTCAATGAGAATCATCATACTATTAGTATAGTAGATATACTTCATTAGGACCTCACTTAAGTTCATGCAGATAAGGAAGATTGTCTTCAGTACCATATATATAATATGCATGTGCAAGGATCTCTTTTATCAATAGTCAAACTGGAAAACACTTAACATCACAACAAAGTTTCAAGCAAAAACCATCAACTCTGTTAACATAATTGTGAGATACTTGCTGATTGCACCATCTCACTGATTCTCATCAACTTTCCTATCCTAAGTAATGGCGAAGTGACGCGCACTTCCAATTTCAAACTATGCAAGATAAAGTCTAAAACAAAGATCAATTAAAATACAGTCCAGATAATTCTGTCAAACTGTATCAACGTTCATAATTTTACACATATGTAGATCTTACAGCAGGTTATTTGTTCACAGGATACATATAAGTAATTAGGTACATATTCAAAGTGCTCACTACTAGAACGCAGAGTAACTACCTGAAGCAATGAAGCTTCTACACAGCTAAAGTTTAATATGCAATGAAAAAAGATTGATAGCACACACAAGGTCGATGAAAAGAGTTTGGAAAACCGATTTGTTTACAAGTACAATTCTGGTAGAACAAACAGTTCTGCAAAAGGTAATCGTTCTATATTATTCCAATTTTCAAGTGCTACTTTGCATATTAGACACTGGAATTTTAAGCATAGACATAATCATGTAATAGTGGATTTCAGAAAGAAGGGCACCTAGATGTGGGTAGAGCATGAAGTAACCATAAACTATTTGCTTACCTGAGCTGCACATCCTTTCCGCCTAGCAACATGATCCATTCGCTTTATGTCCCTAAGCCAGTCGATTGCTACAAGCTCCATAAGGTACTTTGTTGCGGGAACCTGTAAAGTCAGGTAGGAAATGCACTAAGCTCTTAATTGCCTGCTATACTTCAGAATTAGGAAAACCTGTTGTGCCACTTTTAATGTTTGGACCTTTGATTTGTCATGTGGAAAGCTCTCACTACGAACTTTAAAGAGCTTGCTATCAGGTACTGTCCAGCAGTTACGGCTTTTCTCATTTGCATCCCGACGAATAATGCCCGAAAAACAAGACAAATCTATTGGATCTGTATCAACCAATATAATGACAAAGGATAAGGTTAAAAAATGATAAATCATCTAGGCAAATTATACACATATCAGACTAAAAGAACAAACCTGTGTACTTAGCATCACTGTCAGATCTGGTAGGTGCCTCCTGTACATGAATCACATAAGACTTCAGTGTTAAATGAATCAGCAGTAAAACTTTCTTCAAACTACAAAAATAGTACAAATGTAAGTGTAGTATGTATTTTGACCTCAAGATTAGCTTCAGGAACTTGATAGTCATCATCTTCTTCTGACTCTTCATCTATCATATCCAAATTTTTGTTATCGACTTGTCCAAAATCAGCTTGTTTTGTCTTTAAGTCAGTTTCTTGGAGTTTCTTATCCTTTTTCAATTTGGACACAGTAGCCATAGTACTCATCACAGGAATCCTCGGAACTGGATGAATATCATCAGTTTGGGAAAAGTACTCACGCAATCCTGGACATAAATGCAAATGTTAGACCAACATAGACACATACTATCAACACGAAAGAACGTTGTGATTAATTAACAGTATTTATTTGTCATTTTTAGCATTCACGGGAAATTAGGACATGTCATCAAAAGTTAAAAGAATGGTTTGTACTTTGTACCAGCAACACAGTTGAGCATCTGCAACAAAGAGTAGTACTGGAACGATGAAAAATAGTTGACGCCCCATCCCTTTAGATCAATTTGCATAAGGTGTTGAACTTGAGTGCGTGGTCTCCCGTTGACGCATTTGAGAGGAGAAATTTTAAAACCTCCACCTGAACTAGTAGGAAGTTAAGGTTAAAAAACAAAAGTTGTGCAACACTTGTTTTAATATATCAAGCATCCTGATAAGCAGAAGGCAAATTACTTTCAATAAACGCCCTCACAAATCCTGGTTGGGGACCACAATTCTGATGCTCAGTAGATCGGAACAGTACAACTGCAGGTTTAAGAACATTGAATCAAACAAGTTGCTTCAGAATGATGAAAGTGACCAACAAGGAGACATCCAAAGATTACCATAACTTCCATCATCATTGCGCCGCCAATATCGTACATAACAAAGATCCCGGGGCCAGACCAACCTACATGTTCAGTTATCTATTAAATTAGATGTAGCTATGTTATTCCAAATCTGAGGTAATGCAATAATATATCGATATAAAGTAAAGAACCCAGGTCTTGTGGAGTATGATACTGCCATATAGAAGTTCTCATCCTACAATTTTAATTTAGCAACAGTTGTCCAAACAGCAAAAACAGTAATGAATTTGGCAGTTGGCATTGCCCTATTGGGTGCAGAGGCAATTCCAACAAGTGAATTGTACAATATATGCCAGGCATAAATATTCTACACTCAAGTCCAAATGAAAAAAGTTCGTGCTCAAATAGTTTATTTAGACTTTCAATAAGATATAAAATGCAATCCTCATGCAAGTTATAACAGAACCAGATGATATGTGCACATAAATAATCAGTACAAGAAAAGGTGTTACATTGAAAACCAGTTCAGCTGTAGCCGATGATATAGTATTGCAGTGTGACCATCAACCTCTTCAACTAAACTCCCATACTGGAAGCTACAATCCCACCTACAGTGGAGCATAAATAATACTGAGGTCAGCATTCATAGAAAAGCAATTAGGAAGTAAAACACTTAAACAGCACACACTTACTCATATCGTGTTACATCCATACTCATTATTAGCCCAAAAATGGATTCACATGTGGCTTCCACCACACCAACAGCTCTCATTGCTCGGCTACAGCTTCTTGCCTGTAAGGGTGCACAAGGCATAAAAGGTTACTCATAGCATTGGCGTGTCTGCCTTTGACAGTATATAGGTAAGAGAGGTACATACAAGGTATTCAACCTCCACAAGTTCTTCAAAGATGCGCAAGCCTGCCAATCATAAAGCCAGGAAACTCTAATTGTAACTTCATTTGAACAATCCTAAAGTTGAATTCAAAATTTTAAAGTACCCCTTATATGCATGCCTATATATAATCTACGTAAAGGGCTGTGAACTTACCATTCTGACATCTAAGTAGCCGCCAGTTCTTTCTTGAGTAAGCATGGTTGGTGTCATTCTGATCTGACAGCCCAATATCAGGCTCCTTGGTCCAATCATGTACCGAATCAGGAGGGCCTAGAAAAAGAAATGGTGTATTTAAGTTCTCTCGTGTAGCCATTACAAAATATTAATAAAAAATTAAAAGTATGTTTACCATTCCCGATAGTTGTCCTACGAAGCAAAGTAGGCCGGGGCTCTTCTTCATCTTCCGGTCTATAATAGAGTAAAATCTCCTATTACTTTTAACCAGAAGGACTTACATACAGCTAGATAAAATATGAAATCACTTGCCCACTGTCACGATCAGAGAATGATAATGGGCCTCCAAACTCCATGTCAAAGTCCAGTGAAGCAAAAGCTTTGCGGTTTTTAGCCGTCATAGTGTCTTGTTGCTGCAGAATGAATATCTCCGATGTTATGCCTAGGACAGTTCATTGGTGTGTCATAGAATTATTGAAAAAATGGATGTTATAGATTTCTTTTGAATCTAATATGTACAAGGGAGAACCTTCTTACACCGTAGCTAAACAAGAAACTAATGAAAAAGGGGCTGAAATATCCTTATTACTTCGAACAATTGCCATATGTTGTTACAGTCTGTTGGACTTACTACACCTGATCAATAAGGAGCTCTAGCTTCTTTTTCCAGACCAGGGCATCCTCGATATCATGCGCACCCATCTGTAGAAGAACAATACTAGGATTAAGATGGTATTTGAATAATGACAAGTTTACTGTATGAGAAATTTTATGGTCCTTAAAAAAGTACCTCGATGTACCTAAATTTTACACTAATTTTTTTTGTATCTCAAGGTACTTAATACCTGGAGGTACCAAATTTTATACTAGAAAGTGTGGTACCTCTCAGTACTTTTTCAAGGATGGTAAAATTACCCTTACTGTATAGGTATATGTGACAGAAAAAGGCTATAGGATACTAAATGAAAGAGTACACACAAAAGGACCACTAGCATCTCTCCCATATGTAGTGTTACACTGTTATTGTCAATTAAACTTGAGCAAATAAAATTGCATAGCATTAGTCAATTATCAAGCAGAGAAAGGGAATCCAAAAGCTACACTAATGCTAGTGAAAGTAGCGTCTTCTTTTAACTATATCCAAAAGCTACACTAATGCTAGTGAAAGTAGCGTCTTCTTTTAACTATAAAACCAGAATGATGTAGAAAGGGCATCGCTCCCTTTTTTAGGTCAACAGAAATATATGACCCATAAACAAAGTACACAAAAAAGGATGGCAAGAAAAGGGTTAACATCCAGCTTATATACTTGCTTTTTCCAATACACTGCAGTAGTAAAAACTATATATTGCAGACAAAATATCAGCAAGTGCGTTTAAAAGCAAATTCTCAAACATAGAGTGTATTCTGGTTTGGCAAGTTAGCATCGTAACGAACCGTGATATGATTCTCCTTTTCTTTCTTGTTGTATATGCACAGAACATAGACCATCTGCAAAACAAGAATATCACTACAAATAAGTAAATGACGGTATTAACGTCACAACAGTACAGCAGTACCCCTCAAAAGTAAGGTGTTTTTCTTAAACTAAAAGATAGTGAATTTATTCAAGAAAAAGGTATCAAGAAACTTTCCCATTGAAGGAATTAAATGATACGCTTTATGCTTTATGCTTTATGTTATGATGCTAGATGAATTAAATATGAGAAGAGGGAACTTACTTGACCATGATGTGTTTTAAGCCCTCTGTCTTCCACTCTGCAATTTCCATCTATTTGAAGCGCCTTCACTGGCACCTGCCCATCCACAAATCTTAAATGAATAATCAAAATAAAGCAGCCACCATGCTCCTGTTGCAGAATTTCCAATCTAAACTCGTGTATCAGTATGGCAATTTATTAGGTTAAAATCCTCCGAATAAGGCGTACAATCAAGAGTACTTCAGCTGAAGTACTCTACAATAAAGAGTACTTCAGCTATAAGAATCTTATTCAAGAATCATAATCCATGACTCATTCAGACATTCTTACTCTCCAACGATATGCTTTACATCTACCGAAGCAGTACATTTACAGCAAACGCTACTCTAAATGACCCAGAGCTGAAGAGACAAAACTCCATTACTTAACAACAGTATGTCATTAATTAGCACTTCCTAGCCTCAAATTAAAAGCATCCGGAGATACAGATGGTAAACAGTTCCAACTCAGCTTCACGGTTAAATAGTTGGCATCAGTTTGCAATAATCATATACCATTAAAATAAGGCAGGTGGTTCTATGTGCTAGTCAAACCACTCAAAAATCCAAAATAACGGCAGAAAACTCATGTGCATCGCATCATGATGCAGGCAAATTCCCCTACATTCAGATTTAGTTATCGTAACTAGAACATCCTCCGATCCTCCACTCCACCCAATTGGACAGAATAAACCACAAGTCACGAAATCCCGCTAAAAATTCATGAGAAACTCTTGAAAAAAAAAAGGTAGCGCAGCTTTCTGCGAGACTACGACAAATGAATCGCATCGCGAGTTCGCGAGTATGACAGCAAAATCAAGAGCATAAGTTGCAGGATGATGATGTGTATACCATGTTGTCCTTGGGCTGCTTCTTGTAGTAGGCGAGCAGCTTGTTGTCGAGGACGAAGTAGCGCGTGCGGACGAACGACCTCCCAATCTTCCTCCGCCCGTACCGCAGCATCCACCCCTCGTGCCGCACCGCGGCCGTCGCCGCCGCCGAGACCTTGGGGAGCTCCCCGCTCCGCGCCATCGCCGCCGCGGAGGGCCTCGGGGGATCCACGCCGCCGGCGCGCCCCAGCTCGGAGCTCTTCGCCGCCGCCTCCCTCCTCGAGGTCGACGAGCTCATCATCATCTCCGGCGGTGATTTCGAATTCCAACTGGGTCGCGTCACGTCCCCCGGGCCGCCACGTCAATGAGCCATACCCCAGCGGGTGAGGTGGCACCGGAGGGGAACGTGGAGGCCTAGGCAAGGCGCAGGCCCCGCCGAATCACGGCGGCCGGAGCCGGCGAGGTGGCCGGCGACAGGCGGAGGAGGAGGGGAGGGTTTCGAGGCGGGGGAGGCGGAGAGAGAAGACGAGAGATTAATTATTATTGTAAGCCACTATTAAATCCCCAACTACTACTTTGCATTTTTATTTCAAATATTTGGCTTTTGCCTTTTTCGAGGAAATTTCTGGTCTAGACCTTGTGTTTTGTCTAAATTACTTATTGTTGACTTGGGGGGTCTTTTGAGTCCATTGAAGTTTTGTAATTTTGGAGATAGTACTGTTTTAAAATATGAAAGACAATAGTACAAGCATTAAAGGAATTTGTGGTTTTCCACCTTTTCTGTGACATTTTCATTTATTTGAAAATGAATATGACCACTTCTTGGTCTTCAACTTTTGTTTTGTTCATATTCAATGGTACAAAAGAATGAATTGAATATAGCAAGTTAAATGTTGTTTTAAAAAAGGTATTGTAAAACATTTATATATAGAAAGTGATACTCTTCCCATTTAGAGGTTTGGAAAACGTGCACGTCGTAATCCACAGTCATAAGAGAAAACAGTGATGGTTAGATAAGCCACTCTAACAAAAAAAACCGTAACCCGTAAGTCTAGAACACTCTTAACCAAAAAAAAAACTCTCAAACTAGTTGAAATACCCTTCACTAAAACACCATGTTGAATTTTCGATTGTTAAGTGTACAACATCTAAGTTTTTTTTAACGACTCACGTAACATAGTGCGAAGTTCATATTGATACAACCCTGATAAGTCGTAACCAGAAAAACGAAAAATTACAATATTACAGTATCTATGTTGACATGGTACCAATATGAACATCTGATATCATCTTACATGTAATTTTTTTTCCTTTGAGATTCAAGATTTTATTGATTATGTAAAAATGTCACATGCCAGACAGGAATGGTGCTCAAAACACACAACTTGTGGAGTTTAATATTTATTCAAATAAAAAAAGGGGAAATAGATGTTATAGAATAAACGAATCAGTGTATGAAAAAATAATTTGTAGAGAAAAACACCATTCACGTGCATCAATATACAAATGGCCTAAAATGAACTGCACTAGAACAAACACAAAGAATTGCGATTCAAAGTTTTGTTATGACCATGAAGAAAGTTTGGTTTCGGAACGGATGCATAATTATTTAATATTTTAATAATCTTGTAATGGATTATTATGTCACTAGATGTCATATAAAATGAAAATGTTCCAACCTGCATACGTAGGACCAACTTCTTTTTCCTGAAAAACTTATGTAGTACCAACTTGAAGTAGGCAAGAAATGCAGGCCGTCAAAATATTTCTTATCAACTTCCACCGGCAAAAGCACTGATACGGAGTAGTGGTATCTTCTATACTACTTAAACTTTACTAGATTCGAACTGAAAAGGAGCAAAAGATTAACAGAGCCTTCCATCTGAAATTCTCAATGGCATCAGTTTAATAATTAAGTTGTGTATCATGTGCTGGCCTCGGAGAGCTAGAGGGGCCATTTGTAATTATCTTGATTTGAAGGGGCTATGCTGTAAGCTTCAGTTCGTGAGCGAGTGGCGGGAAATCCCCCGCCCACTCCACGGTCCGCGCTGGAACGCTCTCCCGTGTTTGAAAGCTACCCATTTTACCCCTCGCCGTGCGCTGGACGCCATCCGTGCGACGTGGTCCCGACACGTGGACGGCTGAGATGTGCTTAGCGTGGAAAGATCTCGCTGTCTTTAGGACGGACTGATTAGCGATTAGTAATTGCGTGCTCAAATACTAATTAACCCACAGAACGTATACATATTTTTATCCAGGGACACGTTGACTTCCATCTTATTCTCGCGTTTCCATGTGATTTCTGGAGGATTATCAGAGGCTAGCTAGGCGTTATTCAGCCAGTTCTTAAGTGTGGAAATTAATATGTGCAGTGCAGATTCTTTTTGTATAATTAACCATATGTTTAAGAACAACTCCATGTCACAATCTTTTTGTAAAGCATGTGTTTGAGAATAACTCCATGTCACATATAGGGTATAATTAGATCAAGATGTATCCAAATTAATGAGTAATTATGGACAGCAAAGCTGACGGATGAATGCTGGTAGTGCTCCTGTCCTACGTGCTTGCTGGTCTGCAGCTAGCGAATCTCCAGCAGCAGATGCACGCATCCACAACGTGGCTGGCAATCAAAAAACTGTCACAGCTAATTAACCAGCATCTGCAGTTTGCTCATAACTCGTGTTAATGGCTATGAAGAAAGAAAAAAACCGAGCAACTTTCCTCTCGGAGTATCGGTAATCTTTCGTTACGTTTTCGTGTGATGAGTAGTTCTCGCAAACGGTTTTAATTGGTTAATGGTCACCTAAAATCAATTAAATTACGTGTGTATGCTGCAAGTAATTAATTGGCTAGTGGATGGACAGGACAACCCAGGAAGCAATCAATCAAGCAGCAAAGAACAATTTAGCTCGTGTTTAGTTACTTTCCAATTTTTATTAAGTATACGAACACACATTTAAAGTATTAAATATAGACTAATAATAAAATAAATTGCAGATTCTGCCTGCAAACTATAGAATGAATCTATTAAACCTAATTAATCCATTATTAACAAATGTTTACTGTAGCATCACATTATTAAATCATGGCGCAATTAGGCTCAAAAGATTCGTCTCGCAATTTACATGTAAACTGTGTAATTGTTTTTTCGTCCACATTTAGTGCTCCATGTATATATCTAAACATTTGATGTGACGGAATTTTTAGAAGTTTGATGGGAACTAAACACAGCATAATTAAGCAAAAAAAAAAAGCAACAATTACACAATGATACGATAAGGAGACCCCACCTACTAGTACAAAGCAGTCATGACATTCCAGAGAATTAGTCTCAGCAAGGCATATTCTTCTCATCCTCTCATCAAATAATATCTTGCAGCAGTTTGCTGATGCATATTCCATGCCAACTTAATTGCAGTTCCAGGTGTCATTAGCCCATTATTACATTTAACACTGTTGTGAACTTATGATCCAAATGGCCCATCAGCCGAAGTGCTCAGATTTAGGCCCAAACAAGGAAGAAGCCCAGCCGAAGAAACATGGGCTCGGCCCAAGCCACGTCATACGAGCACGGATCTCGAGGTGGGAGAACGTACGGACGCGATCCCCTCCGAGCGGCCGTAGGCTGGCCCTCCCGACCCAGCAAAATCTTCTTCTCCCGAGACGAACCACCCGAAGCCGCAGCAGCAGCGATGGCAATGGAGAGGCTTATCTCTTCGCCGCTCCTCCCGCGCCGGCCTCCCCGCGCCGCCTTCTCCCGCCCGCCGCCCTCCCTCGCCGCCGCGCCACCCCACCACCGCGCCGGCGGTGCGGCCTCCGGGTACGGCTCCAGGCCGCCTCTCGCCTCGCTCCTCCTCTCCAGGCACCACCACCACCACCAGCCTCCGGTCCTCGCGGCCAATCCTGCTGCCGATGTGGCCGCCGGCGAGGCTGTCCCTCCCGCCACCGCCACCGCCAGCCGGCGCTTCCTCCAGAAGGTGAGCGCCTCGTTGCCCGCCAGTTTTCCGTGTCGCGCCTCACTCGTTCTTGCATGTCTCGTGTGATGATTACTGATGTGAATTTCTTCTTCTTCTTCCAAGAATTGCTTCTGTTTTGTGATGTTGTTGTGGTCGGAGGAGTCCAAGAGTTAGCGGAGATTATTGAGCTCACGCGTTTGGTTTGACAGGTGGCGTCGGCTGCGGCTGCCACTCTGTTGGCGACGATTGCACTGACGCTGATCCAGCCGGCGTGGGCGCCGCCGGCGTTGGCGTCGTTCCACTCGGCGGCGAAGGCGGGAGGTGGCATCTTCAAGTCGGAGCTGCTCAGCAGCGCGTGGACGGGGTTCCTGGCCGGCTGCCTGCACACGCTCTCCGGGCCGGACCACCTCGCCGCGCTGGCGCCGCTGTCCATCGGGAGGTCGCGGGTGGAGAGCGCCGCCGTGGGCGCGCTCTGGGGCTGCGGCCACGACGCCGGCCAGGTCATCTTCGGCCTCCTGTTCCTCAGCCTCAAGGACCGCCTCCACATCGAGGTCATCCGAACGTGGGGGACCCGCGTCGTCGGCCTCACGCTGCTCGTCATCGGCGCCCTCGGCATCAGGGAGGCCACCGAGGTGCCCACGCCGTGCGTCGCGCTGGAGAACGGCGGCGGCGGCGGCGGCGCGCACCGTGGCCCGCTCGATGCTCTACCAGCCACCAGGAAGAAGATCACCTTCGCCACGTTCGCCACCGGGATCGTGCACGGGCTGCAGCCCGACGCGCTCATGATGGTCCTGCCGGCGCTCGCCCTCCCGTCGCGCGTCGCCGGCGCGGCGTTCCTTGGCATGTTCCTCGTCGGCACCGTGGTCGCCATGGGCAGCTACACCGTCCTGATCGGCTCTTGTACGGAGGCGCTCAAGGAGAGGGTTCCCAGGATCACGGAGAAGCTGACATGGGCTGCCTCGCTCGTGGCCATCTCCATGGGCCTCGGCATCCTCATCAGCCAGTCTCTCGGCTTTAGCTTGTACTGATCCGCCATCCCTCGCGACACCTCCTTCTTCTTCTTCGCCATTGTTAAGCTTCCACTGCCTCCACTGTAGGAATCTGCCATGAGAATTTTGCAAATGTTGCTTGTTGAGATCCAGGAGAATTCAAGTTTAGTTCACAAGAAAAAAAAATGCCATGAGAATTTTGCAAATGTTGCATTGTTGAGATCCAGGAGAATTCAAGTTTAGTTCACAAGAAAAAAAAATGCTTTGCTGAGAATTGCTTAGGTGATCTGCGATGAGTAAACATGTGTTAATTGTCACCCAAATGTATTACACGTACTTGAAAAAGGACTGGTTAAGAACGATTCACATCAAATGTATTTCTTGTACTTGGAAATTAAAAAGATTGGTTAAGAGTAATTCAGTGTGTCTAGGAGATCTGGCATGCATTTCTGTCATTCTGTTTTTGTGTCATTTGTAGTTGCTAGCTGACACTTTGTACTTGAGTGAGATGTACTGTATGTCTGTATCGAATTGTGGTTTCCATTCACAACCCTGATAGATTTTGAGATGCTGATATAGATAGGCACATTATGTTCCTCTGCTTGTTCAGAAATTCTATCTTGGCAAATTTGGGACACCAGATCGTCAGCAGGTGACGCAGAATGCGAATTTGCTACACAGTTCTTCAGTGGCAAATCAAGGACAAGTCTGGAACTGGGATCAAATAATAATGTATATATCGAATTCAACCTGTGAAGAACAAAAAACTGAACATAAGAGCTGGTTAAAATATTCAACCAAACAGTCGCCTTGTCCGCAGATAAGATGATGTATGATTGCTGCTGTTGAATGAACTCTTCGTGTTTGCTTGCTGTCTTATCAGCCATAACCAGAAAAGTAATTTAAAAACTTATTTTAAACTTGATTTTGAAGGTCTTCTTTTCAACATTGGTTGTTTCCCTGAATTAGTTTTCAAACCATTAAAAACAAAGATATACAAGTTGTCCATAAACTGTTCATGGTTTTATCTTTCCACGGCTTATACATCAAACAATCAATTACACAGACTGAACTTGTACGTAGTAAACGGAGACAAATCGGAGGTTATGCTTATGCTTATCAGCTAAAATTTGAATTTTCAATCTTACATTTAGGGGTTTTTTTTTATCAAAGTTTATTTTTAGCCTTTTCTTTTAGATCACTAAAAGCATGTATTATTTACAAATTATTTTTCGTTTGCAAATATACCGTTTATAAGCCAAACGATGGGGCATTAACTTTGGGGCTTTAACCTATTTGCCACTCTTACGAGTAGTGCTTAACGATTTGCCACTAAGCCCACATGTTATAGACACATGAGAGCCCACATGTCATTGACAGGGTGTGGCAAATCGTTAATTGTCATGTCACAAGAGTGGCAAATAGTTAAATTTCCCGTTAACTTCAAACAAGGTGCTTATCGATTTTTCTATATATTTGTCGATAAATTTTCTTCCAAAAATTTGACAGATGTAATTACAGTACAATCGTAGTGTAATTACACTGTAACTATAGTGTAACTTATATGTAACTTTCAAAAATCTCTACATAATATGTTATTCTGGTAAAATAGAGGTTGTGGGAACAAATCCTTACACATATGTGTGTTGTGGTTTTATTTTTCTTCCTCACCAAAACAAATCTTATATGAAACTTATATACAAGTTACGCTGTAGTTACGTGCAAGTTACAGTGTAATTACACTACGATTGTACTATAATTACATCTGTCAAATTTTTAGGAGAAAATTTGTCGACAAATGTATAGGTGGTCCCGGTGCTTATACTGCGAAAAAAATACGGGCCGTTCTGTCCGTGTAATGGGCCTTCCGGGCCAGAATTCGGAGCCCAAATGGGCCCGTTTAATGCCTTGGTGGTGAAGTCCCAACTCCCACGTTGTCTCGTCTCGTCTCTCGCACCAACTCTCTCTCTCTCTCCCTTCTCTCTCCCCGATTCCTCCTCCGCCTCGCCGTCGAGATCTCGCCGCGCCCGCGCCCGCCTCCGCCGGAGCTCTCCCGCGCCATGGCGACGCGGAACCGGACGCCTCTGTACCGCAAGTACCGCGACGCGCTGCGCCACGTCCGCGCGCCGGCGGGGGCTCCGTCGTCGTCATCGTCCGGAGGAGGAGGAGGAGGAGGAGGCGGGGGGCCGGTGATCGAGATGGCCTCGCTGCTGCGCTCCAACCGCCCCTACGCCCCCCTCAGCACCGACGACCCCTCCGCCGCCTCCAGGTAACAACCCCCCTTCCACCACCCTGTGCCGTCTAATCTGAACCCCACCTTTAGATCAGTGCGCTAGTTAATCGTGATGCGAGGGGGGCGCGAGATGCGGAATTGCGACATGGGAATCACAATTGCTAGACTTAGATCGGTTTCCGTGCGAGTGAATAGCGATGTCCCGTAAAATCTTTTACGATGGTGATCCAATTAGCCTGTGATTCAAACGAAGCAGTAGAATTGCAGATCGCTGAACTCATTCCCTTAGCTAGCCTGTTTAGGCGTCATCTACTGCGAGATATTTATAATTGGTTTTGTTAGTTCAAGTAGAGAAGTTGAAAACTGTTGTGAGTATAAACATCGAGGTGTGGTAGCAGTCCACCAATTGGTTTGGGAACCTTACTTGGCACTCACATGTGGTGTATGTGGTGCAGTAGAAGTGCTGTGACGGTCGGGCTGCCCCCGGCATGGGTTGATGTTTCCGAAGAGATATCTGCCAACATGCAGCGGGCAAGAACGAAGATGGCAGAGCTGGCTAAGGCACATGCCAAAGCCTTGATGCCATCCTTTGGTGATGGTAGAGATGACCAGCGAGCAATTGAGATTCTTACACATGAGGTAACAGACTTACTGAAGAGGTCGGAGAAGAGACTTCAGAAGCTATCCATGAAAGATTCTTCAGAGGATTCAAATGTCCGAAAGAATGTCCAGGTGATGATGGGCTCCTATCTTTACTTATTAAACAGCTACAGGACTCATAAGGGATTTTTGTTTTGATGGATGAAATGCCCTTTGATTGTTATATGCAGCGTTCACTCGCTACAGACCTGCAAAGCCTTTCGATGGAGTTCCGTAAAAAACAGTCAACTTATTTAAAGCAGCTACGCCAACAGAAAGAGGTTCGTACGTCAATCTGCTCAAAGTCCAGATACTTTTGCTACTTAAATCGATCTAATTGAGATGCTTGATTAATGAATCATGTTTACAGGGGCAAGATGGAGTTGATTTGGAAATGAACATGAATGGTTCTAAGTCGACATTTGAACTTGGAGATGATGAATTTGAGGATGTGGTATGCTATTACTTTGTCTTTATCTTTAGTCCTTAGTCCTGCAGACTTGATTTTACAATATTGTTATCCTGAAAGCTTGGCTTATAGTAACTAGTAACACACTCAATTCTAATTATTATTTTTATTGTTTGTTGTGTATTGCTCCTCCCTATCTGCTAGTAACTGACTTGAAAATCAGAATCAAGGGTTTGCCCGACTTGCTTCACTTCAGAGTTCAGACCCACAAGTATACACAAAATTTGTGAAGAGAAAAACGCAAAATGAATAGCGGCACACATTATGTGCAATGAAGGCCATGTCTAGGTTTGGGTGGTTACAGTGGCTTAGAATAAGGCAACATAAATCTGATAGTATGTATTTGGCTTGCTTGGATCAATTTGCAGGTGTGAGTTAGGAATCTAGCTCAAGAATGAGCACAATCTAGTTACATAGTTGGAATTCTTATTCTGTTATACTTCTATTCTAGGCATTTTAATTTGACGGGATTGCATTATAGGATGTAGCTGTTGGATGTTTATAGCATTTCATTTTGCTCCTACCTTTTGACCACATGATGACATTGTGGATCTTAATATCAAGTCCAGAAAGTCAGATTTTTGGCCTGTGAATCTGTAATGCTTGAATAAACATAATAAGAAAGTAACGCACACTTGTGGGATGGAGTTTTGAGGCTTAAGCTATTGTTATGGCAGTACTGGGTAGTGAAGATCTTGCATTTCCAAGCTTCCCAGCCCTTTCACTTTGTAATTGCTGTACTGATCAAGAAAGGCCGGGTTCTTTCAATTGCGTTTTAAACCAAGTGAATTTAGGTACATCATTTCAACTGGCTCCCGATGCAGAAGTTATAATCATAAAAAAATACAAGGCTTTCTAAGTAAAAGTGCTATAGTCCCGTGCTCCACCTGCATCCACTTACCTAAATTTTTCTCTTCTGCGTTATCAGATGGCAGGCAAGAAACATACAGGCGTTACTGCCCTTTTTTTTTAATCATATCATGAATTTAGTAACATAGGTTATGTTCATGAATAAAATCAAAGAAGTTTGAGTAGCTTTGCATTGTCATGAACACCACAATAATCCAAGCATCCATACACCATGGCCTTGCATCCATGAATTCTTAGTATAGTTCATGCACATACTTAGATGGTATCCAGGCAGCTGCTTTTAAACTGGTTTAGTGTGAAAAAGAGTCTTAAGTGAGATGCTCAAAGAAAACATTAACAAATTATATGCTTCATTATGTATATATCCCCTTTTAGTGTTCTCGGGAGTATGATGTTTGTGTATGTTTTTTTGTTGGATTTGAAATCAATGTATGGGAATAGATTTGCTGGTATCAAAGAGGAGGATTAAAGTTCCAGCATACCCTTTAAATTAAGTAATTGATCGATGATGTAGTTTATTCCATGATTTTAATTTCAGGGTTTCACGGAGGTTCAGATGTCAAAACTTAAGAAAAGCGAAGCATTCACCAGAGAAAGAGAAAGAGAAATCGAGCAGGTGAGTTCTTTGTTTGTTATTTGCTTATATGCACAATGCTATATACATACTCTCTTATTTGAATTAAAAAAAATCAATCATGGGCACAACTTTATTTTATATTATCTGCATTCTACTTGAAGGTTGTCGAATCAGTTAACGAGCTTGCACAGATCATGAAGGACCTTTCAGTTCTTGTGATAGATCAGGTATAAGAAAAACCCTAAATAACCGAGTTATCAATGATTGGTTTTGTTAACTGGTTCAAACTCCAGACTCATAATTACTTCATCTCAACAGGGAACTATCATAGATCGGATAGACTACAATATACAGAATGTTGCAGCTTCCGTTGAAGAGGGTTATAAACAATTGCAAAAGGTTTCATCCCCCAACCCATTTTCTATCTTTAGAGTATTTTTATGCAGATTTCTGTAGTTAAGATGGAAAAACTTCTATGCCATGTTTCATTTGCCAGGTTAACTTATATGATATTTTATGATTTGTGTCCATTACGGAGTAGCACAGTGGTTTAAGAAAACTTGTACTATAATGTTAACCCTAAAAAATTGCTTCCCACCTGATCTATCTTTTTGTCCATTGAAAGAAAATGGTATGGGTAGATTAGGCATTAAATGAAATTTTAAAAAGGTATACTATATAACTTCAGCAGTTATCTGGTGATAAAAATTCAGTGCTTGATTTTGCATCTCCCAGACTGTGGACAGTCAAGCATCTCATAGC